AATCATTTCCAAAATGCAATCTGGGAGACATGGGGAATGGTAGCCTCAGGGCCTAACACACCCCCAAGCCAAACTCTGCCGTTTCAGCAAGAAAAAACGAGAACTAGTTAATGAAGTGGTTTATAACAATATATATATATTTAATATATATAATATATGCTATAATATATATTTTATATATAATATATAACAATAAAGGCATACTTGATTCAGGGCAATTAGTCTAATTTATAGTATATTTAAATATTTCTTTTATATTTGTCCTGGGTTCAGCAGTAGCAGTCATTTTTCTCCTTCTTGGTAGCTGGTGCAGCGCAGTGTTTTGACTTTTGGCTTGGGAACAGAGCTGATAACAATGATGTTTTGGTTTGGCCAAGGACTTTGTGAGCCTCATGCTCTGCCAGGGAGGAGGGGAAGCCAGGAGGAAGCAGAGACAGGACACCTGACCCAAACTGACCAAAGAGGTATTCCATACCACAGCACGGCATGCCCAGGAGGTAACTGGGAGTTAGCCGGAAGGGCTGGGGGACTGCAGGGTTGGAGGAGGTATGGGTCAGTGCTTGGTCAGGCCTGGGGGGTGAGTTATCGGTTGGCTGGTGCTGAGGTGTTGCATTCTCTTCCCTTGTTATTTCCTTTATCATTATTATCATTGGTGGTAGCAGTAGTGATCTGTGTTATACCTTAGTTACTTAAACTGTTCTTATCTCAACCCGTGAGAGTTGCATTGTTTTTGACTCTCCTCTCTGTCCCTCCGGGAGCAGGGGAGGGCAAGAAGTGGGGGGAAGTGAGTGAACAAATTGCCTGACTGGGTTTAAACCACGACAATATTGCATATGTAATATTACATATTTGCAACGTATCATAAAAATTATATGCATATAGCAATAATATGGCAAAAAATTATCTAGATCTCTGGATACAAAACATACAATAAACAATTTGATGTAGTTGAGTTCTGACATTAGCTGCACAAAAAGAACATCCATTATTTTGGTTGCCAAGTAAAAATCACATCTGTTGCTTTCTGCCTTGAACTGCCCAGATTCATACATATAACATTGTACATGCATTAGTACACTAAATCCCAAATGGTGAAGAAACATCAGGGACACAGGATTTAGAAAATGCTAGTCAAAAATGCAGAGGTAACCTTAATTCAATCCCCCTTTGAGTTATTTATAACTACAAAACTCTCCCAGGCTCTCCAAATTTCTGCCCCTTTCCTCTACCTTGAAACCCCTGCATAATCAACATTGCTGAGACAAATATTAAGGCAAATAACCAGGTCCATCCCCCACACAGATAAAGCAAACTTCTTCTTTGAAACAGAATTAGTAGTTTGAGTTTGGGGAGTGGGGTGGGGGGGATAAACAGAAAAATCACCTGTATGCCAGCAGCTGCAATGAATAATTTAACTCCTAATTGCCAAGACAAAGTGAAGGTGCTTAACAGTGGGCAAACACATGTTCTATATGTACTTTGCTATGCTATAGGGAGACAAAGAACCTATACGTTTACCATGAGGAGTTATGTCTTAAGAAATTATAACACAGGTTGGGTATTTGTGGGTTTTTTTGTTTTTTTCTCCTCTATGACCATAAATTCCCTTTTTTATTCTCTCACCTGGTGTGTAAGACTCACCATCCTACTCTCTTCGGAAGGTACTTTCATTTAACTAACAGAGTTAATCTATAAAGACTAAAAATACTGGCAATATCAGTACCTTCCAGATTATCACTGGGTGAGACACCAGATGCACATTGTCCATGAAATATTAACAGTACCATGATCCAAAAGGGCTTTTTACAATACCTCAAAGTGCTTATAAAATACTGGTTTTGACACTCCCACAAGAAAAGAAAGGTGAAAACTCTCAGAGACCTGAAGCATGGTAAGATTCTCTTTCCTTTCTGCCCAAATTTCCATCAGGGCAGCAATGCCCCGTAGAGTGGGAGAATCCCTGCCCCTCAACCTGCTGGTCATGTTTCTTTTGATGCAGCCCAGAATATGGTTGACTTTCTGGGCTGCAGGTGCACCCTGACAGCTCATGCTGAGCTTTTTAGACCAAGTCCCTCTCCTCAGGGCTGCCCTCAATCCAGTCTCCACCCAGCCTAGCTGTGCTAGGGACAGCCCCAGTCTGGGTGCAGGACCTTGCACTCGGCCTTGTTGAATTTCATGAGGTTTGCACAGGTCCACCTCTGAAGGCTGTCAAGTTCTCTCTGGATGGTGAGCAACTGCAAATATTTGAGAGGACTGTCCTACATACAGATATAAACTTAATCTCCTTAAGATGCTGAGCTACCAAAACACAATTAAACCAAAAATTAAGTCTTGAGCTGCAGAAACATCTTACTTATTGACTCACACATGCTTGGCAAGCACAAGGATAAACAACACAATAAAATCAGGGGCCGAGCAGTGCTTTTCCAGCAGAGATAGCTGGAAAAGCATCCAAACTAAATCAAACTGTGTTGGAAGGGATGCTCAGCTTCCCAGTGTGGTGAAAAATCACTGCAGCACACACAAGTTTTAGAGATGTTACTAAAGTAATCTATACATTATACTGATACTTGTTAATAAGTAATGTTGAGAAATATTACTCTATTAAAAAAAAATGTAATGGAAGAGAAGAAAAAGGTCAGGTTTTAGTATTGGGAAAAGCTGTACCAGGGTCTAGTAGTGACTCCCAGATCCTGGGAGTGGGGCTATAGGTGCAACCTAAAGCTGCTTTGAGATTAGTGTCAACTGGAATGATCTACAGACGGAGAAACCTCCATCCCCAAAACAAGGCCCTGGAAATGGGGTAAATGATGACCTAAAAAGCTAATACCTTGGAGATTTCTTGGCAAAACCAGCATATTGGTAGCTTGGGATTGAATGCACTAAAACTGAACCCAACAGAATTGTTTCTCTTCTCATGTATATGTATTATGAGCAATTTCATTGATGGGATACTACAAGCCACTGCAAGAGAAAATGAAACTCCCCTGTTTTTAGTTGTTTTTTTTTTAATTCTTGAGTTATCAAAGGAACTTCTTGTAGTATTTCCATCAATGCTAAAAATGAAATTATCTTTCAAACACTAATCTTTCTTCCTCCCCCACTGTTTTTATAAAGCCATTTCCAAGTTGATTTGGGTAACAGGCAATTAAACCAGCTTTTTTTCTTGCTTCTGGATTTTAGTTAACAGTTTTTGGAAATTATGTAAAGAATGTAGGACAGAAGTGTTGCATTATTCACAGCACTGTAACAAAAGAAAAGCTGCATGAAATCTTGACATTAAGAAAGAGATTTCCCCCTCTCCACCTCAAGCTGTGCCAAATCAGTCACTTTTATCCAGTCCTTGTTACACCAACAGAGAGAATAAAAGTTATTGTTGCTTAGTTTCAATAGGTTAGATACTATTAAACACAAGATGCTTAATAATGTCATAGCAGAATGACTTTTTAGTTTATGTAAAATGTGGCATGGTAATTCGGAGATAAACCCAGAGGTTATAACAAGAGTGATTCCAAGTAGGAAACTGGGAGCCATATCTCAGTACAGACTGGGACAACCAGCCTCTCCTGCTATGCTATATCATCCACCCTAAGGTACAGAGTTATCTCCACAGATGTTATCTCCACTGATTTGGTGCCTCATATCTTCATTAATGTTTATTATCTTTTCCCCTCCTGCCCTGAAACTTTAAGTGTCCCTGGAAAAGTTTTATACTTTATTCTTTTCTTTAACTCTTGATAAGGAGCTTAATGCTCGTTACAAGATCCAAGGAAATTAAACTGTTTCTGGTTAGGCATGCAGTTTTGAGATAGGCAAATTTAATTCATAGCATATCAATTTAATATGCCTTTTCTCTCTAAATCTGAGCACTTCTCCAGCAGTAAAGGAAATAAAGCTTATCTATGAATATGCAATTATTCTGTATGACAAACAGCTGATTTGCTCAAGTTACAAAATTTATCTGTACACTAAATAAAGAGGCAAAGAAGTAACAATGTCCTATCAATGCTTCGAAAAAGAAAATCAACTTATATGGCAGCAGTGTCATTTCTTAAAATAAACGGCAGAGGTAGTGCACATGAATATTTTTCTTGATGGCAAAGCATGTATAAGAAAAAACAAGCAGGAATGAAATACAATACTGTCATACACAGAGATTTCCTAAAGTTAAATCATACAGGGCTACATTTTGAAATGGTTTATTAACAGCTTCTGTAATATTTAATCACACGCAATTCTGCAGGCCCTGAACAGAGCGCTATGTGCATAAACTGTGTGGACAAAGTGCCTGCAATGCAACTCAAATATTTTACATTAAGTTTACACATTCACTTTCAGAGCAAGGTTAAGGTTTTTGGTTTTGAGGGACTGGGTTTTTTGTTGGGGGGGGGAGGATGCAGGGTTTGGGAGGGGTATTTTGGTTGGGATTTTTTGTTTTGGGTTTTTGGTTTGGTGGTTGTCTGGGTTTTTTTGGTCTTTGCAGTTTGTTTTTTTTTTTCAATGAAGAGCCATGAAAAGCCTGACACTAATGAGATTCTAGTTATAGCCAGGCAGGCAAAGCACAGCTGTGTCCAGGCCGTCAAATATCTCAACACATGCTACATTGCCCCTCTCTGCTGTAACTCTTAGCAACTTTTCTATGACACTTCCTTTAAGGCGTGATATTGCCCTCTAACATGAGTGTCCCACCAAATTTGAAAGGAGGCAGTGTTTTCACATCCCTCCTTCTTCAGCACTGAACTAGGGCCTAAAGAAAGTGGTTTCCCTTCTGCGCACCACATGAAAATACTGTTTCACTCCACAGTTGGACAGAAATCCAATAAAAAATACATAAGCCCTGTTCAAAACTGGATTCATTCTCCACACAGCTCATCATCTCAACGTGCTGAAACATTCAACCATAACTGGGAGCAAATTTGTCCATTTGGAAAAAAGAGCCTCGATATTGCCACCAGAAGGCTCACAGACACTCATTAGCTCTCAAAATTGAAAGCACTTACCTCTTCAAGGACATCTGCAAGCTTACTAAGTATCTCCTCGGGAAGGCTCTGGAATGTAGGAACACTGCAATACAAGAGAAACCTTGATTAATTGATCCCTCTATATGTGTCATAAATCTAGCTGCATCTAGTTCATCTGTCTTCCAGAGATATTTTGCCCTCACTGGCGTTCACCAGAAACATAGCATATATAATGGAAATATTACCATCTTCTAGCAGCCAAGATATATTATGTTTTGATGGAGGACCACTTATAGTAAACATCTGGAGAACCACTTGTAAAGCTAGTAGTCAACTAAGAATAAATCAAAGATTTACTGGAATTAATCTGTGCTGCAAACCTGCTCAGTCACATGTGTGACTGTGCAGTTTTTTTCCTGATCTGCTTCCGTCCCATTGGATACAAATTAAAAACAAAAAGAAAGAAGGGGTGCAGGCAGCAGAAAAGATCAGCTTTAACCAGCCACAGACAAAAGACTGACAGAAAACACACACTGACATAAAAATCCAGAGCTTGAAGCAGCTGTGAAGTCCAGGGAGACAGCATGGACACTGCCCAACCCAAGATGGACCCACTGTAAAAATTACCACGGACTTCTCCAGGAGTTTTACATTCAAGTTTGTTTCATTTCTTTTGCCAAAAAGGCACTTTTCCGCTTGTAAGGTAGCATTTCTCTTGGCAAAGTTCTCCCAGGCTGGACCTGCCTGTCAAGATGTGCGGGTAATGCAGCAATAAAGAGCCCGTCAGCCCCTGGGTCATCAGGACTGAGATTTAAATTGTTCAGGATGATGGATATGAAGTTGGGTCTCCAAATCTCCTGCAACTCCCCTGACCTTGAAGCTGTATCTCTATTACCTTACAGCCTGCACAGCAAGATTGTGGAGTCTCTGTCTTTGGACATATTCAAAAGCCATCTGGACGTGGTCCTGAGTAACCAACACTAGATGGCCCTGCTTGAACAGTGGAGTTGGACCAGATGACCTCCAGAGGTCCTTACAAACCCCAACCAGTCTGTGATTCTGCAATATCTTCATTTCTCATTCTTTATTTTCCACAAAACGTCAATGCTCATCAATATTCCCAAGTGATACTAAATGAAACACATAGACACAACGTACACTCCACAGGCAGAAAAGCAGCACTATACATGCTTTAATTAAAAATGCCTGTCATTGGGAGACTAATTAGCAATGCATCTACATGAAATATTAGTTTGAGCTAATACAGCTCTACCAAGGCTATTTCCAAGAACAGCTCACTCAAGAGTTGCTTTATCACCTCCATGGTGCAAACACAGTCCTATGCTCCTAATATTAAATTGAGATCGCCAATGTATTGCTCTGATTTCAGGAACACTGATGATCAGGTGCAAAGCAAGGAGTGAGTGAGGTGTTGGGAGGAGTCTCCTACAGAGAGGTAAATATAACCCAGAATAAATCATGTTTTTCCTTTCACGTAAGGCGTCGCTTACTTTGGATCACATAACTGCATAAGTTATCCTCTACATTTTGAAGAGCTAAAAAACCCAAACCAAATCCACCACTTTTTGCAGCCCTGAACTCTGGAAAGCAAGCCCTGGCATGTGCCTTTGGGACAATCACCCCACCTTTTTCAGGACTCTTAAACACCTCCTGGATGCACAATTTGGTGGCTGTTTTTGCACCCAAACTCCACCCACAAAAGCAAAGGGAGGTCTGAAGACTACTCCGTGAGCTTGATAGCAAATGCTTGGGGTTCTTCTCTGGGGAAAAGCACAAAGTGCCTGGTGAACTGAATTTGTGTGCACAAGTAAAGCAGAATTTGCTTTTATTAACTTAAGCAATATGCCATGATGCAGTGAAATTAGAAAGCTGGGAAACTTTCATTCTCTGTTTAAAAAAAACAACAAAACTTCAGCTGAATGTATTAAATGATGACAAAATGAAACTGGACAACTAAGTGCAGAAAAATATGATTGTTCATGCTCTTAACATCTTTTGTTTATTCCTTAGGGAACACTCTTTTTCACTAGAAACACATGGCTTCACAATGTAACAAGATCAAACAGAAGCAACTAAAAAGGAATTATATTATGTCTGGGCCTAAGTATAAAATGAAAGTTCATTATACCAACTCTAGCATTCCCAAATGAGGAATAAACTTATGGGAGAAGATAATATTCCCAGATATCTGGTCAAATTTTACTGTGGCTGCACACAAGAGAATGCATCACAGAGTATTTTTTTACAGGTAATTCTATCTGTGCAATCCAAGGGACAGTAGTGGAAGACACCTATTTTACATCAAATGTTTGAGATACAGAGAAATAGATATCAGCTCTGAAGAAATCCCACAGCTTACTTTTGATAACATAGAATATTAAGTAAAGAGGAAAATTTCCTAACAGAAATACTTACAACTTTAACACAGCAATGGAGCAGATAATAGGAAAATCAAGTTGTCGACAAAACAAACTCCAACTGCATCATATCACATCTGAGAAATACACACTATCACAGATTTGTGATAGTTTATGATGGTCCAGTATCCTCCTTAGCAGCTGGTTGTGGCTGAAGTGACAATACAACCAAATTATATTTGAGTCTCAAAAGAGGTCTTACAGGACTGCCCATCAGTTTAATACCAAAAAAAAAACCCTTTATTGAAAAAATACCTTTATAAAACAGTGGGGAGAAAGCATTTATTGACCTGTCAAAAGATGTTACGAAGTCAGGCAAACAGAGCTAATGATAACACCGACAGAAGAACAAGATTAGAAAAGATGTTCAAGTGTACAAGACAATATTGAACATCTGGTTTGATTGTCCAGGTCAATAAAAATATACCACCACTCTCTTCATAACAATATTGAACAGACTCATAAAATAGATTCTTGTTTTCTTCTAAAATCTGCCTGCACTATTTAAAGATTTGCATTCAGAAATCAATGTTTTGGAGATTATTTCCATGTGGGTACTTGCATTCAAAGGGAAATGAAGCCTCGGCTCTAGAAGAACAGAAGAAAACAGGTGACCTGCAAATTGCTCCAAGTGGGAAAACACATGCTAAAGAGAGAATCAGGAGCGCAAGACTCAAATAAAATCTTTGAATATGTTGCAGCACAGCAAGAGGTAAGAAAAACTGTACTCTGATCTCTACAATTTTCTAAAAAAGTCTGAAAATATATGGAAAAGAATATTCAGCACTTGAGTTTAGATGTATTCCTTATTTATGATAGAAGAAATCACAGCAAATGGAGCTCCAAGTTGTTTTCACAACTGACATTCTACTCATCTGCTGCCCTCCCTGCTCCTTGAAGTTATTTATGGTCATGCAGGTGCTAAAAAATATTTCTACCAAAATATTTATGCCTACTTTTCAGGTCTCCTTTGCAAAAGTGCAGTCCAAGATCCGCACGAAGATGCAGACCACCCTGCAAAGGTAGAACCTAACACGGCAAACCAGATCCCTAACTTAAGGAAATTTAATTTTAACAGCAAATGCCAACATGGTATTTTTTAAAAAATCAGTCCACAAACATCACAATGCTTTATCACAGATGTGTGACTGCCATTGCAGGCAACAGGATGAGGAGCAACCTCTGACCTTCTCCAGGATCCCCAAGCCTCATTAGACTCTGACCACAAAAAGGAGAAGTAGCTGCACTGGTAGAGAAGCTGCACATGCTGGCATGGAAAGGTGACTTCTTGCTGGCTATTTTCTACACTATTCAGCTACATAACATTTTGTAGCAGATGACCGTCCAAATACCCAGTGAGGGCACCGCAGGGAATTGCTCGCTGTCTACAGGAATGGCAGAGAAGCTATTCTGGTTGGCTCTGAAAGTGACACATTTTCACAGAGAACTCAACATGCTGAACAGAAGCTGCCAAAGCTGGGGAAAACAGCTGCACCAAAATGTCCATGTTGAATCTCCATCCCAACACAAAAAACAAAGACATGGCCAACCTGAAGGTAGTGGGAGGATGAGTGAATGGTCAGGTTTCCATCCCCAGTGATCTGCAGTTACTGAGCTGCTCTCAACTTTCTGGCAGAAGTAACATCCAACTCTTATTCAGCCCTTTGATTCATCCCATGGGGTTACTGTTGTCCTAAACCAGCAGGGGCTTCCAAATAATACTGGCTGTACTGACGAGGTTGATTTTACCTAGAAAATACTCAGTGGCAGAGATGCCAGCACTCTAATAGGACGTTTATCGCCTGACACACATGAAAACTGTTCAGGGTCCTTGTTGTGTTTTTCAGCTGTCCTGGGTTCAGCAGTAGCAGTCATGTTTCTCCTTCTTGGTAGCTGGTGCAGTGCAGTGTTTTGACTTTCGGCCTGGGAACAGAGCTGATAGCGATGTTTTGGTTTGGCCAAGGACTTTGTGAGCCTCATGCTCTGCCAGGGAGGAGGGGAAGCCAGGAGGAAGCAGAGACAGGACACCTGACCCAAACTGACCAAAGAGGTATTCCATACCACAGCACGTCATGCCCAGGATGTAACGGAGAGTTACCCGGAAGGGCTGGGGGACTGCAGGGTTGAAGGAGGTATCGGTCGGGGCTTGGTCGGGCTGAGGGGGGCAAGTTATCTGTCGGCTGGTGCTGAGGTGTTGTATTCTCTTCCCTTGTTATTTCCTTTATCATTATTATCATTGGTGGTAGCAGTAGTGATTTGTGTTATACCTTAGTTACTAAACTGTTCTTATCTCAACCCGTGGGAGTTGCATTCTTTTCGATTCTCCTCTCCGTCCCTCCAAGAGCAGGGGGAGGGCAAGAAAAGGGGGGGAAGTGAGCGAACGAGTTACCTGACTGGGTTTAAACCACCACATTCAGCCCAACACAAAAGCAGCTATTCACTTTCTAAATGCATTTCAAGATATATTCCCCAAACTTTTGAAGGGTGTTCACTGAAATTGTTCATTCAGCATTCCTTGTGGGATAACTCCAAAACAAACCATTTACCTTTTACTGTTGGATGTCACTGGTCTCTGCCTTGATGGGCAAGCACAGTTTAAAAATCAAGACAGAGCAGTAAAACTAAATGTAGTCTGTCTGCATTCCCTGAAACTCTTTGTTTTGCA